TCAAATAGGCCTGAAAAGGTTATTAAATTAGATAGGGCACATTAAATCAAACCAGTTGTTACCTGTTACACATAACACAGTGGGGCAAGCTACCTGAAAGCCAGAGGGATGGGGTGGGGACGATGTTTTACTGTTACAGTAGCCTGTGTCTAATTCCTCGCTCTGCTGGTTTTATACCTATGATGAAGTGGAGAGGTCTGCTGAACTTGCAGTCACACACCTACTTAAAACTTAGTTTTGTGAAAGAAGATGGAAGAAACAATTTTGCGAAGGAAACGCAAGCGTGAAGAAGTTATTTTACTTTCTTAATGTGGGCTGAAAGGCCCAGGAACGGGGCAACCATGCACATCTTAAGCTAGTGCTGTATACAGCACCAAAATCCTTTTTCTCACGAAGTGGTGAGGATGGTGAGGAGCTGGAGGAGGCGGTGTCCCAGGGCCTTCCCACCTCCCCATCCTGTTCCCGAGCCATGCAGCATTTGGGAGTCCCAGAAGAGGAGGAGTGAGTCGGTTGCCCTCAAGTAAGAAGAGGTCCCATTTTCCAAGGTGCTGGTGGGTGCTCCCAGCCAGGCTGCAGCCTCCAGCAGTGCCAGAGCTCCTGAGCCTCGGGTGCACTGGGATACTGCTTCTCCAGCCCCTCACACAGACTCCTCACACCTGGGAGGAAGTCTGCCAGCCTGCAGTTTGTCATCTGGGGGCTGGGAGAGTTTGCACGGCTTTTTTATTTTTGTAACTTGCGTTATGATGGCAACATCCCATCTGACAGGCTGAGAAGTGCCAACGAAGAGTTAGAGCTTTTGTGGGGTCCGTGGTGGCTGGATGCATCGGGTCCATCTCATCCTCTGGACACGGGTGACTAGCTTGCACCAGTACAAGTCAATAATAATGGAGAGCTGTGACTCTGAGTATCAGTGTCAAAGGTATAAAAAAAGGCTGCTCAAGGGTTTTATGTAATAGTTGGCTTTGTATTGGGAGATCTTTATATTTAAAATTCATTTAAGGTTTCTTAAAGCATGTATTTTCCAGGTCATGTATCTAGGTAGAAGAAAAGGTTTAAAATAATTTCTAAGGTTTGGTTTTCTAAATTGCAGATCTATACCAAAATAAAATAATGCTTTCTGAAAACAGCATTTGTTGCAAGGAGTTAAGTCTTCTTTCTGCCTAGAGTGAAAGCTAAAAGTGGATCTCTGGCCATGAGCCAAATTCTGTCAGCTCCACAGAAATATTCATAAGGTAGATCAATAATTAAGCCCGCTATGCAAAAATAATGTTGTGTTCGACTCAAATTGCTCTGCAGTGCCTGTTCATACATGACTGCTTGTTTTAATTTATTTTCCACCTGAGTTTTAGGAGTATTACCAAGATTCAAGAATTTCTTTTGGAGAACTTGATTTGACTATGTACTGTATTCAGGTTATTCTGAGTAAATTTCCTTTTATTTTTTTATTTTTTTTATCCCAAGTGTTCTGAATTCTCGTCCACTGGATGAGTTGCTACCGCCCCAGTGTTTTTAAAGGACAAGCTGACAGAGAAAAAGGATAGGATGGCAGTGTCGTTTCCTTAGTCTGTACAACTGAATAAAGGGAAAACATAATAACTAAATTTAACTGTTTTGCTAACATGCATTTATTTTCTCCTTCTGTCTTTAATCCTCATGTTTTCAATCCTCACTAGAGATAGATGGCTTCAGGAGAATGAGATCCTGTTTATTTCTTGTGCTTTATCAGCAAAACAGAAACAACCTTGTAGCGGCAGCATCTCTATAACTTGTGAGGAAAAGAAGTCCTTCTGTCTAAGTTCTGTCTAATTCCAGGGGAAATGCGCAGGGCCAGCTGTTTACCCCACTTGCAAATGGAGCAAGTTTGATGCAGCGTTCAGTCAATGTGGCCTCTACATTTTCAAAGGGAGTAAAGACTTTCATTCCTATAGGCTAGAGGGGAAAAAATGGGTTTTATGCCACCTTCTCAGGGAGAAACTCAGTGCTGCGTGAGGGATGTGCTGCGACTGAAAAATTGAATTGCTGCTGGTAATAGTTTGCTTTCTGCTCTTTGAAAAATTCTGTCTTCCAGACCTGCAATTATACATCTTTTATTTATAAAACCTCTCCTACAAGAGCACTTATGGTAGTGAAAACTAGCTGGGAAATAATTTCCCATTAATTAAGCTCCTACACATCACGTGATTCTAGTACCTGTATACTCATCCGTGTATGTACTGGCAGTGGCATCTGGTATGGTACATTAAACCCATAGATCATTCATTCCCGCTGTATCAATACAACTCTTTGACTTGAATAGAGAGCCAGAATAATAATGACAGAGTTTCAGCAGAGTCACGGTTTGCCAAATGATTCATCTGATAAACTGAGCCGTGTGATTTGGCACCATTGATTTTCTGCAGGGACCAAAAGTTTTCCCAAGCTATCGGCTGATGATTGCACGACTGATGCACCCCTTTTACAGGGGTAAAGGGGATGCTTCTATTTGACCAGGTTGTGGAGAAAAGAACATTCCTGCCTTCTGAGGGGACAGAGGACTAAGAGGAATGAGAAAGGACCCTGTGTACATGATCTCTCTGCCCCTTTCAGCTGAGTGCCCTAACTATCGGCTGTTAGGAAAAGCCAAATCTGGCAGAGGTGAGGCTGAGCTCCTTTCCAGAGCTTTTTGCCCAGCGATGCAGCTGGCAGCACAGACACATGGACCTTGTGACCTGTGGTCCCACTTCAGTTGCTGGTGTTTAGACCCCCGTACACATGCACGCACACAGAATGAACTCCCACAGCCAGAGAGAGTTAGAGAGGAATTTAGTAAGAAGAGAGGACTGTGCTGGCCAGGTGTGGGGCATGACTGGGCAAGTACAGGGACCAGCAGCCTGCTGACATGATGGGTGCTTCTGTCCCTTCATCCCGTTTGTTCCTCCCCAAACCACCTGCATCTCTCCCTTTCCTTGCCTTTGTTTCCTCCCCTAATCATCCCCTAGCTCTTGTGCAATCCTGATATTCTTCCCCTGCATCCCCTCTGTGTGCTGCACCCCTAAGCAGTCTGAAAGGTGATCCTGAGAGCCATCTTGGTGGCTTTCACATCTGGACCGTGGGGCAGATGCTCTCCAGGGACAGCCCTGTCCATGTGCCTCCTTCTAGAGCCTGCCGTTTGTCCCCCACCTGCCTTTGTGCTTCTGCGCTCCTCGGGATGCGTGGAGATGAGCCTTGGATGGACTGATGGATGTTATTCTGTCTTTTAAAAATTAATGTGTGACCTCTTCTTGTGTCTCGTTCAAAACGATGTTCCCCTCAAGGATGTACTGGCATGGTATTTTGCAGGGAAGTACGAATGAGCTTTACCTCTGCCATCAGCAGAGCTTGGATGTTTGGGGTCAGAACTGCACTCGGCATTTTCACAACTGCCAGTCGTCATGTAACTTGCTCACAGCTGTTTTCTGTTCAAGCAGAAGAAACTCGCATCTGTCCTGGGAGAAATCTGGATGGTATCTCTAATTCTAGGCAGTGATTTCAGGCTACAATTCCTCATCAGACTCAAATGTTTCCTTGCAGCCCCCAAAAACCAAAGAAACCCAGCATTTTGTATGTTCTTTTCATCCTTTCTGCTTTAGCAATTCTGCATCTGAGCTGTTGGAAATTCTGTTCTAAGCCATCTCACCCTGCCCATGGTTTTTATAAGGCACTTTGGGGATGGGCCTTGGACGGTGGATTCTGCCTCCAAGCTCAGATGCCTGGAAGCCAGGTGTGGTATTGCTTAGCATCAGAACCTGCAGATACGCTGGTGGAGTCGATCCTGAACATCTGTCTGAAGATCATAGGGAATTACTAATGAAATTGCATTAAGGCTCCTGATTCTTAGCATGCAGCTCTAAGCAATGAGCACTTCTTATTTCCTGTCTATGTGGAGAGTTGGGATTTCTTTTTTAAACAGGAAATATATTTGGTTATTTTTAATTGAGTCTGTATTAGCTTCTAGTGATAGGACTGCTCTGTGCTGTTGCTTGTAGAATTATGCTTTTGGTGGCACATGCATTTATGGTTAAGATCCTTTTTGTGCTTGTGAAATACTCAGATTTTTTTTTTGAAATGCCAAGCCTGTAAACTCGGTAGGGAGCTCTACACGTAAAGCTAGTGAAATAATAATTGGCAATGCATACGAATAGCATTCTTTGTGCTGTCGAAGGGCCAGAACAAAAATCTATCTTGCTGTCAATACAACTTCTGCAGGAATTGTGTGGGTGGATTGGAGCACTTATCCTAGCCATTATGCAGCAGTGGCGTAAGTTAATGGAACAGATTGTCAGGGGGACGGTAGGAAGTAATGGCATAGGAAGGAAGATGTGATTTATGTATGAGAGATAATACACTGCATATAATGAGAAAGTTTGAAAAATAATGTATGGAGGAGGCACACAGATAAAACTGTGAGCGTCAACTCAGAAAATAACACTTTATTTCTAGCTGCTTCTTACTTTCTTGGATAAGCCCTAATAAGGCTGAAATCTTCCTGATTTTGGTATTTAATTCAAGCTGAGTTACATTTGAGAAAAAAATAAAGCAGTGGTGTTATTTCTGAAGATGATAATAGGGGGAAAAGTACTGCTAGAGAAGATGTGATGTGATGTTCGTGCTTGCTCACCATCCCTCTCTGTTTTGGAGCAAGACCTTTGGATCTGCCAGCATGTTGCCTTTGTAGGATGGAGATGGCCTTTGTTACCTTTGAGGAAAGCCTACAAAAAATTAAGAGCTTATAACAATAACACCCCCCCAAAGCAAAACCAAAAGAAAAAAGAAAACCCAAACACTTATAATTTTCTCAAGAGAAAAATCTTCTATCTTAACAGTATCTTGGCAGCTGAATTGCCACAACTTTCCTTCAGGCTGGGCGTGTTCTTCCTCTCTGGGGTGTTGGGGTCTCCTCCAGCCCCCGTCAGCTGAGGGTGAGCTCCCACGGGACACGTCCAGAGTGGGTCTGTGGGGTGCCTGGCTGGGATGTGGAAGGGATGAGGGACAGTCCAGTCGAAGAGGTGGTGATGGTGCCAGCCTGTCCCCAGGAGCCTCAGCTGGGTGGAGGTGGTGGCGAGGAGCACTCCAAGGAGAGCTGGTGGGACAGAAGGGTCAGGAAGCTCAACAAGGTGAGTGGGGTGACACAGGAGGCGCCCAACATTTCTCTAACATCAGAGACCCAAGCAGGAACTGAACAAAGAAAGTGGGAAGAGGATGAGGAGTCTAAGGAGCAGGGAGTGCAGCTGGTGGTATGGGTGGGGAGAAGAGGGCTGGGCAGGACTGGGGGGATTTGGGGCAGAGCAGAAGCAGTGGTAGAGCAAAAGTATAAACTCTTGAACTGAGGATAGACAGAGGGTCTGTGCCAGCTCATCACTCTCTCCTTTGCGGAAAGGAGCGTGAACCTTGGGCTGTCTTTGTCCAGAATCAATGCGGAGATGAAGCACAAAAAACCTCCCTAAAACCCCACAGTGCTGCTTGGATAATGGAGCGCTCTCATTTTGTGCGGCTGGTGACAGATGCTTTGTGATCCTTCACGCTCCTTTATTTTCTTCAGATGTCAGTGATGGGTGTTCCAGTCTTTTAGATTCCCAGAGCAAAAATCCCGAGGAGTGAATTCAACCTATGTAGCACGTTTGTGAATTGCTTCTTTACTTTTATAGCGTTTCAGTTTGGCAGGTCAGTAGCAGTTGCAGCCAGTGCCTCTTTGAGCTGCGTGCAGCACAGTTACGATGGGATTGTTTTTTGGGGCGCTCTGACATTATAGTTGTTGAGAGCTGAGAGCCACACAACGTGCATTGTCCGTGGAAAGCTGTGGAGAGACAGATTTGGGGTAGGTGCTAGCTGGGTGTTCCCAGCAGTCCCACCACTCTGGGATCTGGGGCTGCTTTGGTGATGTCGGTCTGAGTCTCCTCTTTGCGCTTGTGTCTCACCAAGTGGGGTGCTTGGGTGGCCCAGTGTTCACCCCATGCCAGCACAAGACCATGAATTATTTACTAAATGACTTACAAATTGATGCCTTATCTTTGAAATCCGAAATTCTGGGATGAAACATGAAGAATACACATTTATAGGCAAACGCCTCTCTGTCTTGTTTTCCCCTGTGACTTTTAAGCGCCTGAGTTTAAGGAGCTGGCGAGTGTAAGCTTATGATGTGTTTGAAGTAAAATCAAAGTGTGACAGAAATGGCTAATTGAGCACAGCGTTTGAACAGCTGGCTGCCAATGGCAGCAATGGCACGTCGACTCCACAGAACAAGAGAACTCCTACGTCGGGTATCCAGCCACCTCGCAGTTCGCTTTGAAGCCCTCGTTACGCTGTTCTCAGAGCAGGTGTCACATCTTCGAAGGGAAATATTACAGGCTTTGATGGAAGATGAGAAAGATGTTACACGTCCGCTTAGTGTAACTTTAAATAAAAGAATCATATTTTAAATGCAAATGTCTTGCTTGTTTTTGAGTTGTAAGAAGATGAACCGCTGTCTTAAGAGTGGATTTGCTTTTTAAGTGTCATGCAAACCTGGTTTTAGGATTGCTAATATGTGTTTCTCTTGTAACCAATTATACTCACGACAAAGAGGAATCAACATTTTCTGGAAGTGTATGTGCGGGTTGTGCTACATCATATATAAGTAAATAAATGTCAGCTGTGGTGTCACCTGGGGATTAGGGCAGCTTGGTGTTTGTTGTGAGAGGGTGGGGGTTCACAACCTGGAAACAGCCCTGAATCCCCTTCAAAACCTCACTTTGGAGCTCTTCCCACATGGCGTCTTGTTATTTGTTGGTGCTAAGGATAAAAATCGTGACAATTTCCAAATAAAATACAAGCTTAGTCCAACATAACAGTCTGACTGGGCTGCCTGTTTTGGGTCAAACCTATGGTTTTACTGACACACGTTTGCATGTTTAGCGTAGGATGAAACCAGGGTGTTTCTGCTGGAGGAACAGGTGGTGTGCTGGGACCGTGCTGGGCCACCCCAGCCTCAGAAGGCAGCTCTCAGCACCTGCAAACTTCTTGTGGGTCTGGTTGCTGTTACTCACACTGCAGCTTTCACTGGTTTACAATAATGAAAAACAATTCTTTTGCAAATATTTATATGGCTATTCGCCCTTAAACCCCTGGGAGAGGGAGAAAATAAATCAACTTTCAATTTCTGATATTTCAGCTTCTTGTTTCCTGCAACTGTAGCTGCTGACCCAAATGTGAACACACAGAAAACATATGCTGCCTTTTCTTCGTCAGCTATAGAAAAGATGGTTTTGGAGCACGCGAGATGTCACATCTGTTTAGTCAACAAAATATTGTCGTCTCCATTGCACTGAGTGGCTTCCTTTGTAGTAAAAGCTGCATTTCAGGATGCCAGTTAAATTGGGTCTATAAATTCTTTTAAATGTACTTTATCTTACGGAGTTTCTCTTTTGTTTGCAGCAAGGGAAGCCGTATGTCTTTGATAGAGTGTTACCTCCTAATACAACCCAGGAACAAGTTTATAATGCCTGTGCCAAGCAGATTGTCAAAGGTAGGTGTTGTCTTTGTTTATTCCTGCTTGGGGGGAGGGAAAAAGATGTCTCCCAGTCTCCTTAAGCTATTTGAAGACAGGATAATAAATGTTTAGATGTCTGCATGGGAGTTTTGTAATTAGCAATTCCAAATGTTTCGTTTTTTAAGGACCTGTAAAAGAATCAAACCAAAAACCAAAACAAACAATAAAAAAAAAAAAAAAAAAAGAGCTGAGGGAATTGCAGCAGTTGTTCCTTACTTTGTCCTTGTGTGTGACTCTTATTCCACACAAATACTTGCTTTTTGTGGTTTACGAGAAGCAACAAAAAGCGTGTTCTTCATGCGCTGTGAGACTGTTCAGTGCGGGATGAGCGTGGAATAGCTGTTGTCTTTGGATGGAAGGATGGACCATTGAAGGGAAACATAGTGGGGACTGGTTTTGTAGCTGCTTTGCATGCAGATAGCTTGCATTTAAAATTGAAAGGAGAACACAAGTGCCTACTGGATAGCACGCTATTTGATTAAAACAAAACTTTCATAAACTGTTGAAATGTCAAGATTTTAACTTGAGAATCAAACTTTTGTGTGCATTTTAATTGCCTGTCGTACTTCCCTCACCTCCCAAATCACCCTCACACCTCCTGCTGGGTTCTGATGGTGGATTGTCCATCCGTGATGGTCTTACACCTGCTACAGCGTCTCGGGTTTACGAGTAGAACCTGCTCTAGTTGTTCCCTGGCCTCGTGTGGTGTCCCTGTGTCCCAGAAGATTTGGTCCTCAGGTTTTGTTTGTAAATCAAATTATGTAGACAGTGGGAATGGCGTGGGTTTTGTTTGTAAATCAAATTATGTAGACAGTGGGAATGGCGTGAGAGTTGTGCTCTTAGAGCAACGCAAGGCTGCAGGTTGAACACTGTGGGATTTATGTGGCATGAGAGATTTGAGGTTGCTCAGAGGTGCAGGAGCGGTGTTGAAGGACTCGCTGGCGTGTCAGCGTGGAGCTGTATCTGCTGAGAGCTTGTGTGTCTGCCGGTGGGGAGAGGTTCCTGGGGTGAGCAGCCCTGCTCCAAGCCGTGGATTCTGTTCTGGAGGAAATCGGCTGGCTCGATCAGCTGGCCTGGAGCAAACCAACATGTGTGCAGTCTAGGTGATTGGGGGTGAGGAGCAGAAGCTAAGTTATTTGATGTTGGAGAGAGGAAATGAGTCATAAGACTTCAGTTGCCTCTTCTCAGAGGGGAGCCTAATTACGGCAATTCTGACTTCAAACAGTTAAGCCTTTAATAAAAACTGGTGGGACTGAAGTTGTAGAGCTTAGAAATCATTAGTTCAGGTTGTTAACACACCACTCAACTTTTGGAAGTTTGGGGAACTGTTTCAGCGTACAGTGTGTGCTAGCAGAAGCAGCACATCGCTGTTTGTAGACTTGCGGAGGGTATTTATATCCCCTGTGTAAGTTGGTTTCCTCTGAAAATGAGAAAAATAAAATCCTGTTTGAGAGCAATTTGGAAGACCTAAATCGGTGACTAAAGTCTTCTTCATTAACCAAATATGAAGGGCAATTCCTTCGGAAGTCCTATTTGAAAATAGAGTTCAAACCTACTTCTGCATGTGTGTTAACCTGGACCTTCTAGGTACCTTGAAAGGCAAGTTTGATGCGGGGGAGAGGGTGTAGAAGAAAGGAAAAGTGGAAGAGAAAACAGGGAAAAAAGAGATGACAGAAACTGAGGAGAGAGATGGGGAAGGAGAGAAAGGGAGAAGGGGGAGAGGAGTGTGAGAAAGGAGAGGGCCGGGGAGGGAAGGAGACCAAGCACAGCGTGACTGGAGCGATGTTCTTGAGCTCTGGGCTTACATTTCCATACTTTTAATTTCCAGTTTAAAGCCTAATAAAGTGAAGAATGTGAAACAGACTGGGCTGGAGCACTATTTAAATCTTTGAGACTTTTTCAGATAGCTTTTCAAGGTTACCATTTGTTATCAGATTTCATTATACTCCCATGAAACGGCTGATGGCTTCATTGTGATTAATGTTATTACAGAAAATGCCAGCTGGCCTCACAGTCTCTAAAACAATGTTTATAATAACGATGCTGACAATGAGAATGATCTAAATGAGGTTTTTTTCACTGAAGAAGAAATGGGATTAGGTTTAAGTAAACAGCTCAATGACTGAGTCAAAGTTTTTCACATTTCGTACGTGAGAAACGTGATAAACACAGAGGCTGTTAGAGGAGGAGAAGCAATCTTGTGTGTTACAGGGATCTTTTTCAGGCTGGGCGCTGGGATGTTTTTTTCAAAGTACTCCCAAGGGCAGAGGTCCTAATGGTAGAATTGTGTGGGGAATCATCGCTGGTGCATACGGCCACAGTTTGGGAACTTGTGTTTGCGGTTTTTTAACCCAACTAAGAAATATCACTCCATTTGAAAGGCTGCAATGGTGTATGATTGCCACCACTTCTGCTTTGTTTCCCATTGCTTACTATTGCCAGAAAACAGCGTTATCTTTTCAGACTCCACAGATGGATGTCTATGTCCACATTTTGTGTCTTTCCTACAATTAAATTGAGGGGAGGATATTTAATGACCCAAGCTATTGCTGAGCAGTGCAGCTGGGAGCATGTTAGTGCACACGTGGACATCTGCACATCTGTGTGTCCTGTGAGGAGGAGAAAATGGCTTCCATGGTTTTTCGGGTGGTAGGATTGCTCTCAATGGGTAGTTTATTGACTTTCTATTCTGGTTACAAATACCAGCCTCAGATGGCGAGCCACAGAGCTAGAAAAGATAAGTGTAGAGTCATAGAAATGAAGCTGAAAGGACTTCCAGAAAGCCATTTGGTCTTTCTTCTTGCCATTAGGACTTCTCCGTGGTCAATTTGAAAGGTCTCCAGTCCAGAGCTGCCCTTGGTCACTTGTTGCAGAGCTCTGCTGGATGCTCTCGTGCTGCTGGAAAGACTTTTGGGGTCCCTAACCCAAGCGAGGCTGTGTTGTAGCCCCGACCCAAGGGCAGTGGTTTTACACCGTTGCTACTATCCGTCCTCGTCAGGAAAGTCACCATCTGGCAGCAGCTGAGTGGCAGAGTTGAGTAGCTGGCTTTTGTGGGGAGGGTAAATCAAACTGAAAAGCACTGTAGAGAGAGTTGGACCAGGAATTAAGAAAAGCACTTGGGCTGGTTTTGTTTGTTATGAGTTATGTGAAAATCCCAGCTGATCTTTGTCCGGTCACTTTGTACATCTGTGGGTTTTTTTCCTTGCTCCTCAGTTTTGTGCAGGCTGTTTCTGTGGGGGACTGTCTTGTCTCTCTATTCAGGTGACAGATGGTATATTAGCTGTCTTAAGGTGGAAGGCTTTCCAACAAAAATAACCTCTCCTTCTACCGAGACCACCAACCTTTTTAATTGCGGGTGATGCAAAGGACTTTTTTTTTAATAGAAGAAGGTACTTTTTGCTAATTGGGAAGGTAAATTACGCTTCCTCAAGCAGTGAGGTATCTTAGTATACATTTATGCAAATTTGGACCAATTTTCTTATATAACAGTTGATTAATGAGGTTATTTTCCCCCTAGGCTGTGTAGAAGTATAGAGTTGACATTGTACCTTGCATTCACCTGGAGATAATAGGCCTTTTTTTTTTTTTTTTAATTAGAACTGTTTATTTTTATTTAAGTTAACCAAGTTTGCCAAAAAGAGGAAATGGTAGCAGTGAACTCCCGGATTCTGTTTAACTGTCCTGGGAATTTAAAGGCATTTGGATGCCAGGTGGTATTTTGGAAACAAACAGGAATTGTGTATGTTTGCTCAAGGATTTCTGAACCACCCTCCCAGGACAATTATTTATATTTTTTGATGCCTAAACACCTTTGAAACTCTGTTTGTGTGCACCTTCCAGACACTTCAGCTCATCTTCCCTGTGTGCTGGTTTTCTTCTAAAGAGGAAAATGAACCTTCGTTCTTTTCCAACTTCCAGATAGATTTTAGTTTAGAATAAAAAAGTCCAAACACAAATATTTTCTTTCCTTGCTGGCTAACAAAGGTGGAGACTTCTACACACTATTGGAAAAACATGCCATTAAAATTGCACCCATGAAAGTTCAAGTGCGTGGGCTTTGAACATGGTGCAGCCGGAGGGCCGGCAGCGAGGCTCGCCAGCTGTTCTGTCCTGCCTTCAGGCCACCGTTGTTGTAGTCCTTCCCTTCCACTCAAGTTCATTCTGTTTTGAACTGAAAATCAGTGAGGTGTTCCTTTCAGAAAAGAACTGGTGGGTGACTGTTTTGGAATACCAAACCCATGAAATTTGGCCCTCTTTAGAAGGCTGTTGGTGAAGTGATGGGTTGAAGGCATGAACTCAGGATAGCTCTGCACCTATGGATGGACATGTGGTTTTTTATCTATGCAATTATTGTTTATAATTACTTATTTTAAACTTTGTTTCCTTAAAGTGAGATTAAGCAATGTCTATTTTTATAAACAGATGAGGATGCAGCATTCATATAAAACGTTAATAGCAGAATGACAGTAGTTATAGCCTCTCACTTCGTCACTCTCCTAGATTTCAAGATTTGAAAAATTTACCCAGCAATACTCCATGGAGGTCTACACAACCTCTGGCATGTCTGGCCTCTTCAGCTCTCCAAAATAGTTCTGCCACAACATGAACAGTTACACTCTGTGTTTAATTAGAATAAGTGTTTTTAAATGGCTTCATTCCAATTTCATCCTTACTGAGTACGGCTGTGCAGGAAATGTGGGTCTATACAGCAGTTGTCTTTGAAAGAGTTTTTTTTCCCTTTCCTTTCTTTTTATCCATTTCTTGTCTTTGAAATCACCTTTCTGTGGTTTTTCTCTGATTTTTTTTCATGCTTGCTACTTTTTCATTCTTTTTATATTTTTCTAGGATATCTTGTTTACTTATCCTTCCTGTCTGGACCATCTACATACATACCTGTGGAGCTAGAAATAAGGGGATTGTATGTGTCTGTGTTTATGGAAATGTAGTATATATGACATTATATGTAATAATATGTAATATAGTCTTGTTTCTATATTTACTATAAATATACACACACATAGAACTTTTTTGTCCTTGGTATCCTCTATTAGTACAGATATAGAGGGTGGGAAATATTTTCTGCTCTTGTTTCCCCCTGGCTTTGCTGCACTATCTGTCTGATGTCTCTGCTCTGGAGGGCTGTGGCAGAGCTCTGGTACCGAGTACGATGCTGCTGACCCCTGGCCAGAGGCATGGGGCACGGTGACGAGGGGAAGGTGCGTGTCCCTAAGCAGAGCACCCTGGCCAGCATCCTTCTCGCTGCCCTCGGCAGGGGCTTTCAGAGGGGGCTGATGGGAGCAGCACAGGGTTATCACCACTGGTTCAAGGTGGAAGGTTTCCTTCATTCTTTAGTAGCAACTATAATTATTACTCTTTTTTGAAAGCTGCATAAAGAGGTAGCCCTACTTAAGACTTTGAATTCACTTGCCTGGAGCAGGTCCAACCCAGTAATCCTTTCAGCGGCAATGAATGGATGTGGGACTGTGAGTAAAAACCAGCTGGTTTGCAGCCCTCCTGGATTTCTGACCACTGCTATAGACATTGACCACTGCAAAGTTAAAACCAGATATTTTTATATCTTAATGCAATACAAAATTAATCCTTCTGCCTTGAGAGAAGTATATTTTCAATAAAGCAAATTCCTGTTCATCTGACTTGCTTCTTGCTTTGCTCTCCTGCTTTGCAGGCAAGCTTGGAAGTTATCGAGGCCATGAACTGCTGAGGGTATTATAGTAGTAGAATTATACAGTATGGGTTTGTTTAATTTTCTCTGTGATGTGTGGTGGTTTAAAATGCAGGCAATTAAGTTTTCTCTTTCCCATGTTATACAGCTCTATTGGATAATATCTAGTGTCCAGAGATATTTTTTTTCCTCAGGAAAGTGAGAGACATGTCAAGCATTCTGTAATTCCCTAATTTAGATTCTTATGATTATTTTTTTTTGCCTAAAGATAGCTAATTATGACGTATTTTTTCTATTATTTATTGTGCAAACTATTTTCTAATCAAGCTTCGACACTGCGGAAGACTTATGAAATGCTGATAATCCAGCTTTAAGGCATCAAGTTTTAATTGCTTTTCTTCTTCTTGCAGATGTTCTTGAAGGCTACAATGGCACAATCTTTGCTTATGGACAGACATCATCAGGAAAAACGCATACTATGGAGGTACAGTGGCAGAATCAGATCAGCTTGGTAGCAGCAGTAGAATTGTATGTACCAATTACCTGAACAAACCAGCTCTCTGGAGCACTCAGCTGTGAACAGACATATCAAAAGAGATCTGGATATGTTTAGCTTCTACTGCCTTTTAAGCTGGAGTATTTCTTTCTATGTAGAGTTGTTTTCAAGAGATGTCTACAGATATCTAGCTAAACTAACTAGAAAAATACCAGTATAGCTTCTCCGCATTTGTCATAACGGTTTAGGTATGTGTCTGTTTTAAAGGATATGAGTGAGATGAGTTAATCCACAAATGAAAACAGTAATAAGGGTCTGCAGAGTCCCCTTGCATGCAGGATTATGAAAATTCATGCCTTGCTTATTGGTTTTCTCATTTGCTCTCCCCTTCTGGGAATACCACTCTCACATGCTGCAGCACAGATGGATGAATGTAAGAATTGTTTCTTTGGAGCAGAAGAATATCGAATTATACCAGATTCCAGTGGCTGAAGTCCTAAGTCTATTCATATTTCTGCTGTGCGCAGTGTGACAGTGTAGTTTTTTTCCTGTGGGTTTTTTTTAACTGTTCAGTTAGAAGACATTTAGATATTTTGGTCTCTTCTAAAACAGGAGGCTCGTTCCAGCATTTAATCCTCGCATAGGATTGTTCCATCACAGCACTGTACAAGCCAGGTGTACATGTCTTGGAGCCTTTCAGTTCAACTGTAAACTTTAAACAGAGGGTCTACAGCAAAGTTTTGCTAAATGAGAGGAAAAAATGAGCTTTCATTTGCTCAACAGCATCAGATGGTTTTGCTACACGATTAACACAGGTGACCTGCCTACCCTGAAGGTTAAAGGAGAAGGAAAGCAACATTCTCTCGAGCCAACAGGCCCTGGTGAAATTGCTGTTCGATTGCCACAGTTGTTCCTTTCCTGGAGGATGCAATAACTGATGCCTCACGTCTAATTAAGTCTGTCCTTGTGAGGATGGGGGAAATCACTAGCTCAGCCCTCACAGATGGCACAACGGCTGAGTAATCCACCAGCTCTGAATGTAATTAAATCAAAATGTCTGCAGGGCTTGAGCTGGTGCTTCCACATGGCATGGGGAAAGATCTCTTAAAGCCAATTTATATTCAGAATTACAAGCTGCGATAAAGAAAATGACTGTAGAGAAGTGGCTGGTCTACTTCTTTAATAAAGAAAAAGCTGTCATTTTAAAGTGGAATCAAGTCTATATTCAGTTTTAATCCCCCTTTTAACCTAACATCCTCTTGTAAAGTTGCTAAAGTATGTTGTGGAAGAAAAAAATAGTCTGAATTTGAAGAAATAGGAAATCCTCTTGGTAAAGCTGTTACGGAGGATTTTCTGTGAAATGCTTCATAGTGTTAGTGTTAAGCTTAGAGAGGACACGGTAGTGTAGTATAGCCAGGATAGGCTTTCTGACATACACAGCCCTTTCTCCTGTGCGAGATAAAACATTTGCCAGCCTGTACAGCAGGATAGATAGATACCTTCTTTAAAGTTACATGTTTTTGCCCATGAGATTATATTGATGGACTTTGACCTTACAGTAGAGTTTTCAATCCTAGGTCCCTGTAGGCTGTAGTTATTGTATCAACACCCTGAAAAGAACCAGCGCTGTCTCAAATGTTACACTTCACTGGCTGCTGCCTGCCTGCTATGTTTAAATGTGAAAATTAGTGTTCTTATTAAAATGAGAGGCTTTAATGAGCAGAGAACTCGCTGTCCGGGTGCTTTGGGGGAGTTTAACTGCAGTGTCAGCATGGCAGCAGCAGTACATTTCTCCAAACTCTTGATGAGGTTACAGCTAAATCCATGAGAGTGGGGTTTTTTGGGTTTTTTTTTGATCCCAGCTTTCCAGTAGCCTACCTTTACCTTTCTCTTCCCTTCCAGTTTGTGGTCTCCATTCATTATAGTGAGACTTGCTGAAATAATCTCTTTAGTGACAATCCATTGATAACAAAGTAAAAATTATACATATTTTTTCAATGCATCACAGAGTGCCAGTGTTACAGCCTTTTAAAGATCTTAACTGTTTCTTTGCAAAGCAGTGAGTGTGATCTTGCTTCGCTGAAGTTTCTACTGACTTAAATAGTGAGAAAGCCCAAGAAGTTGTAGATGCAGTGATTGAGTTACGTGCACACTTAATCGTGTTTTCCAGATTAATTTCTCTTCTGAGCTAGAGAAAGCTATGTAAAGGCAAGTATAATTATTACAGGGTATGTTGAGGTTTACGAGAGTATTTACGTAAATATTTTCTTAAGTTGTTGCTTACCCAGAGCCCAAGCAGTTATTCAAAGGAAAGGTGATCCCAAAGCTGGTGCACCTCTGTGCAGGCAGAAGTCTCTGCAACAAAACTTTGAATTCAAACTGTCCTTTTGCTGAGCTAACAACCCAGCTCACTCAAAGCTACTACAGAAAAGGTTGGTTTCAGTGAGCTTCTCCAGGATTTCTTCAGGGAGACGGGATGGACAGTGTGAAAACTGTCTTGTGGTCTCTGCTTAGTACCAGCACTGTGCGATGGAACCAAGGTAAAACGAAGTGCTGGGGTTTGGCTGGAGCATGTGTTGGTGCATACAAGTTTATTTACTCACCCTCTTTTTCATTCTCATGTTCTGATGTACAATGTTGTATCATATGAAAAGGATATTTTGGTTTTTGAGAAGCTTAATAGGGTATTGGATATGGTATAGCATTTAACTGCTTCTGCTGCAGAAGGAAAACTATTTGTGTACTATTGAACAATATACTGTGTATGGTGTAATATATTCATGGTTTAGATAGAGCTGAGTGCTGCTGGGGAGTGCAGTCAGCAGTGTAACTCATTTATCTGTATTCCTCCCCCCCACCTTTTTTTCCCCAAGATTTGTAATTCAAGGGCAGAAACCTAGTAACTGCTTTAAATATGGGCTTTGAGATTGAGGGAGAGACTGTGTCAGTTCTTCATGTTCAATTTCCTTCATCCTAGGCTGATGCTTGGAAGTTGACTGTCATTTCACCAGCTTTAGCATAAAGAAAGCGATGTCTAGAGAGACTATATTTGAGTACACCGAAAAAGGCTGAGAAACTTGGAAAACAGGTCACTGTGACCCACTAGTCACTCACAAACATGCGTAATACTGAGAAATACATGTGTGCATGTGTTATTTTCTTCCTATTTTGCTAAAAACAAAAAAATGGTGGTTAATCATCATTAGCAATTACGGATCAAATCTGATTTCACATTATTTGGAAATGTATTATTACCCACTACATTTAAAAAAAAAATAAGTTCCAGTATTTGGATTAGGATGCTTTGTGGTGCTGATATGGGCAGTAATATATGGAAAAAGATCTATTCAAAAGATTATTAGTTTCTAGACACTGTGTTCTGATGGAGTCTTATGACTACTGACTTGTTATTGCATATGTAAGCAGTTTCATAAAACATTTGGAAATAACCGTACAGTGTACGCTGTAGGCAGAAAAGGTTTTTATTTTGAGTTTGTATTTCTCTTCAGTTTTCAAGTGGTGTTAGCTTTCCTGTACGTGTCTGGCTTTTTCAAAAAGAGCAATGCAACTCAAAGGAGCCGTGCAGCCAGGGAAACTGTTGTTTTTGTTTAATATTCAGATCTTGAAAGAACAGAGGAAGGTAGTTGTGCAGATTAACATGGAGAACAGTAGTGTTTGTAAGGCAGGGTCCTCTGGCAGCGGGCCCAGCGAGCTCCAATCAGAATATATTACTCTAATCCCCAAATCCCCGCAACCCAGATTTCCCTTTAGCTTTCTAGCATAGTGGAGAAAGAGAAACAAAATGCTCTCATACTTCTTGTTTCTGACATGTTTCCAAAGATCCGATTTAACTGGGAGAACCGGGCTGCAATTTGTACGTTTGTTTGTGTTTATTCCGCTATCTTCAGTCGGAGAGTGACAGTGTAAATAATGTCAGCACTTGGCGAATGGCAGGAGCTGACAAAACAAATGGGTGCTCTGTTGGGTGAAGAGTGCTAATATGTCGAGTCGTTCTGCCACCTTTTATGTGCACTTATATCAAGCAAATCCCCCCCCAGAGCAGCAGACAGGTTCATAGGGGCCCACGGGAGGAGGGTGTGTTTGGACAAGGCTTTCTCCCCTCCTGTTCCTGAGCAAGGCTTTCCAGCTTACGGCTGGCTTTTGTGTCCGCAGGGGAAGCTGCATGACCCTCAGCTCATGGGAATCATCCCAAGAATTGCACATGACATCTTTGATCACATCTATTCCATGGATGAAAACCTGGAGTTTCATATAAAGGTAAATGCGGGATGACGTGTTACGCAATGGGGAGGTTGGAAGAAAGCTGAGCTGGAAGGGGAATCTGCATTCATGCTATAACGCTGTGCTGCGGAATTTTTCCTTTCTCCCTTTTACAACTCAAAAAAACATTAGGTTACTAAGGATATTTACTAGAAATAACCCAATCTGATATTTACTAGAAAAAATCCAATCCAATACTTACAGGAAATAATCCCATACAGTTACTCGCCTTTGAGGGAAATTTTTTTGAGTGTTTTCAGCTTGAGTTTGCTAGTCCATTGCTTGCCTTGTCTCTCACTGCAGACTTGGCAACTTGGTAAGAAAGAACACCCTTATTTCACTGTAGCTTCTCCAAAGACCACTAGTTGTGGTTCCCCAGCCCCGCTAGTTGTGACTGTAAATGCTATTGATCTGTGTGATATTTAAAAGAATTCCGACCTGTCATTCCTATCTCAATGTCATAAACAGTCCTCCCTAACACATGGGTTTGAAATGGAGGAAAGGTGGCAGAAGGATGTTTAGAACTAATTTTTGCTCTCAAAATCGTACATATGGATTCCTCAAGATGGTGGACTAAGACTTGATTTGAACAGCTGATATGTTTTCCCTGTCCTTATTGTGATACCAAACATGTGATCTCAAATTATTTGAGTGACCTTTAATTCCTACTGTTCATCCAGTCTCGTGGGGAGCTCTCGGGCATGCGGAGGCATCGGTCCATCTGGCAGAGTTAAGGTCAGGGTACAGCTTTCTTCTAAATGGACAGCAGTAAAATTAACCAATGGATTGCAGGAAAAAGGGGTACTCCTGTGTGATCCCCCCCAGACACACAAAATATACTGAGATGGCTCCACTCAAGTTAAATCGCTGCGCACAGACGGGGTGTGCAAACACCATCCCTTCTCCTGCTATGACCAGGGGATGCTCTCTGAGAAGGGAGCTCTCCTCCTCTGTCCTGCTTGTGCCTAAAAGTTGGAGATGAGTGACTCCTTATAATATAATGCTGCTTGTATTAAAGCCCTTGAAGCATTTTGGGGGATATATATATTTTTTTTTCCCCCAGTAATCTATCAGAGTACATCTTATAGCAGTGCCTGTTTGTGAGTGTGCTCACAGAGTACAGACAAAACCAGCAGACATACAAAGGACAAACCATCTAAATAGTTTAATGAATATAAAGATAATATTTTAATTGTAAAATATTGAGCTCCTTAGGAAGAGACACCTCTGAATTTTCATAGAAATGTCTTCCACAGGGGTGACACTGATTTCTTTTCACCATCTGTAAAGGTCTCCTGTGGCTATTGCTGTTTTACACAATAGCACTTGGATGCCAATGGATGGGGATCCCCTCCTACAAGACACAGTAAATTCCTGTCCCGGCAGGAGATTATCACTTTCTAAATCATGTTCTGCCAGCACTGAATGGTTTCAGTGCTTTCCTGTCATAGCTGACATTTATGAATATCTTACCAGAAAAGCTGCCTAAATAGCAATGAATGAGTGAGTGATTGTACAAGGAGCTGTTGTTGAGAGAAATGCGTGTTCTGTCATTGGGAGCAAGAATTTAACCAAACTGTCACACTCTTAACAATTGAGCCAACATTGAAAATTAATATCATTTTTTTTCTCTCTCCCTCTTTAATCGAGACCCGTTTAGAACAGGGAGGGGAACTTGCTATCTCCTGTGTGTGTGGGTCCTTAGCAGAGTGTTAACAGGATAATATAAAGCACGTGAGTCAAGTCTGGGTGAACCGGACTGTTGAAATGAGCTGGTCCCGAGGATGGCTTAAAATGGGACACAGGTGAAGTGAATGCACAAAAGCAAAACACATCTGTATTTAATAGCAGGTGTCACATAGGAAGATCAGCTCATCAGTATAAAAAAAATAGATATAACTTATTTTTTTTTAACTGGATAAAGCTTATTTAGGGTAAGGTTATGCATCATCCCCCTAACACACTTCTGTTTGCTTCTGTGAGTCTAATACCTTTTTATTAAGAGAGTAATTCGTTCATTCTCCCTCTCCTTAATTTTTTTTTTTTTTTTTTGAGGACAATTGTCTCTCTCTTTGTTACAGAAAAGCTCATTTTCATTTTCTTCTTTGGGACTTGATTCAAGACAGAACTTTTACATATGCTTCCTTTAAAAGTTTAATTTTATATATATTGCTAAGGCTTATCTAACTTGTGTGTTAAACCACTGTGGGTGCTGTCTGCTTTGTGCTGGGGAATATCAATGTACCTCTTACAGCTGTCAAACCTGACCCTTCTCATGATGCAGCTGTACTGATATGACAGTGGCTGAATCGATTTGAGTCTGTTCAATATTTTTGTCAATTTTGCCTATTTAAAAAAAAAGATGAAGATAAGATTTGTCTGAAGTTTTTTTTTTTTTTTTGTATACTTTCCTGGTGAATCATTGATAAATGGAGAAAGATCAATGACATGTAAATCCTTCAAAATACAAATACTTTCATGTGAAAGATGTGATTCAAAGTATGTGGGAGGTAGATTTTATTTTGAGATTGGTGCTTTTTATTTTGATAGATATGGAAATTTAGGTACAGAGATTTTTGAATCACCAAAGTTTAAATCTGTAATGTTTATGATTGCTTAATTAGGTTTCCTACTTTGAGATATATTTGGACAAAATAAGGGACCTACTTGATGGTAAGTTCTGTATTTCTTCTGTGACTTAGTGTTTTTTGGCTTGGTATAGTGCTTTGAATCAAGGCTTAAGGGGAAACAGTTTCTTTGAGAGGGATTGATATTTAAGCTGTATGATTGGGTTTGTGAAAGAATTTTGCAGTTTAAGTCGTCTGAGCTCTGATTCTTGTGCACCTACCTCTGTGGTGCTACATAGCTTGATTATAAATCTGTGAGTACAGAGAATTTTACTGACTTCAAGGTGAAGTGGCTGCTGATGGTAACACAAAAGCAGGAACACATATTTGGGCTTTTTTGAATTCCAGTGGGTTCTTCTGTCTCTTTTGAAATTCTTGCTGCTTTGGCAAGATCCAGTTTGGTCTGTGTTTATTTTCTTAATCCTAGCAATAAACAAAAGCTCTTGTGCTGTAAAGTTAACTTCAAAGAAGCAGGTACAAGATTGATAGAACAAGAAAAAAGTTTTATGTGACAGAAATACTGGTAGGTAATAAGGAGTGTGAAGTGACTACAGTCCTCATTTACAAATTTAATACATTCACAGTATTTGTCTGTCATGCCTGGAGCTGACACATTATTACCTGTGGAATATTCCTAATGATCACCGTCTTTTTTTCTAGTGTCAAAGACAAACCTCGCTGTACATGAAGATAAAAACAGAGTCCCATATGTTAAGGTACAAGGCAGATTTGACACTTATTTTTTCATTCTTTCTCACATATGCATTTATTGACACATTTCCATTTGTATCCCAGTGTGTTTGCTGTGATGATTCAACTCACGTACAGAGGCTTGAATGTTCAAGTAGTATGGGTCCCTGAATTTAGAAACGGTTTCCTGAAATATTAATGGGCTTGATTCATGTTCGCTTTATTTTCCTGACTTGAAACATTTACATTTTGATGGTATGGTGTTAAATTTTAAGTATTCATATTCCCATTTCATGTCAGATATGAAAGAAAACACCTTGAAAAATTTTGTTCTTTAATATGTTGTTGAATAGATGCTGTAATCTCACAGTATTTTAGAACAGATTTGTTGGATTAGGAATTTATGACTTCCTGGGCCCTTGCCAAGTAATATACTTGTTATGAACATGCGAGCCTTAATAATGTAGTATTGTTCTGTTTATTCTTATCCTGGGAAGGGCAAAAAAAAAACTGATAAAATCCTTCCTTCAGTGATATTGCATTAAGGCAGAGAACAATTTGACCAAGTCTCTCATCTTGTGAACGAACATTATGTCTTAAATTATGCGATGGACAACTCCTGAAAGCTGTGCAGAGGCATGTTTTGGTCCACTGCCTCGCTAGTGATCACGTTGGATGTTGATGGTTCATCAGTGCTAAATATTCTTCTTGATGGCATATGGAGTACTAGCACACTTCCTAAAGTTTTCTGGTTTCAACTTGTATGTTTCTAGGGTTGTACAGAAAGATTTGTATCTAGTCCTGAAGAAGTTTTGGATGTCATTGACGAGGGGAAAGCTAACCGTCATGTAGCTGTTACAAGTAGGTATTCTGCGGGGGCTTTTCTGGCTATGAAGTGTGCGTGCTTCTAGCTTCCTAGTGGTGTATTGATTCTTCGTGTTCACAAAGTAATTTGAGTTACATGAACAATGAAATGATACACAAATTGTACCACTTTAATCGTGTACTTTCTTTATCGCTTCACTGCATACAGAAACATTTATTGACTGTTTCAGCTTTGAGAGCTCCTGAATTTAACATATGGCATGGTATAGTATTGTTATATGAAATGTCAAAATATGTCTTGTTACGGATAGTATAGATATTTTGAAATAATGTATAATTGAAATTTATTTTTTATGATGCACTGGCTAACTTCTTTCTTTTCCCTGTCCCTACCTTCTTGCTTTGGCAAATACTGTGTTGTTTTAGCTTTCCCATGCCTTTCTCATCATACTAATAGAAATGTGTTCTCTTTTTTCTGAGTATTGTGGCCTCCCGTTGTTTCTGCTATTCTCTTTCAAAAAATATCCAAATACACCTTTGGCTGTGACACTACCTGTTGCATTTGGTGCAGACAGAAAAGTTCTTACAAAAGTTGACGGACAATGGATTTTACCTGGACTGAAATGGCAAGGAGCAAATTTGGAAGTGTTATTGAAAAAACTGAGTTTGGAGATGGAGGAGAGAAAGGGAGTTCAGATAAATATAAATATATAAATATATATATATAA